TTGATAATTAGTAGGTTAAACCTTGTTAAAACTTTAGTAAACTACAACTCTATAATTATTCTTAATCTTCCAATTAATTTTTGAAGCCGCAAGATTTTTCTTTTCGTTAAAATTTTCTAATTCCTAGAAGATGTTAACTCACTAACATCCTCACGAGAACGTTACTTGATACAATCTCTTTCTAAAAGATCAACTTGTTTCCTTACAAATCAGTTAATAGAATATTTATTCTTATATAAATAATTCAAACGTGGCAATGTTCCCGATTTCCATTGAACAAAATCACACGTAATGATTACTAAATTTATCTCTTAATGTTTCAACACGTGTTTTAATTTATTATAATTCTTAATGTATAAAACCTACCTTATCAATTCTTATCAATGAAAATGCTATCTTTAAACGAATATAAAAATTCAGTACTTGTAGAAAAAAAAAACACACACACACAGACTAATTTGCGTTTTTTTTAAACCATTCATTAATAGTTTAATAGAGTAACAATGACCTAATTAATTAAGTTAACCGTAAATTTAACTTTTTATTACATAACTTTAATTGGAAAGTAATTTAATAAAGAGGAGCGATCGATGTGCTCTTCTTTATCTTTTTTTAATGGAGAAAAAAACAAATTCGTTTTGATATCTTTCCAAAAAATTAATTTTTATCTAAAAAATTTATTGTATTTTTTTTTTTTTAGATTTTACTACGAAATTTTGAATGTTTTTATTTACTTTTCTCTTACTTTATCGCGTTTTATCTATATAATGGTAGAAAAATTACGTAAAATGCGTTTAAAATTTTACAAATATTCCTTTATATATATTATTTATTTGAAGATAAAATTGTTTTTTAATCTCTTTTCTTTGTATTTTTTTAATTAAAGAATTTTAAAATATCTAAAAGAAGAATCAATTTTAAGAATAATATATAATTCCATAAGATAGTGTTGCTTATAACTATAATCATTTCTATAGAATTGCAGATTTTCGATACATTTTTCTACTTATAATCACGTCCAATAATGTTTTTTTATCATTTAAAATTAGTTTTACACATTTAAATTAGTTATTAAATCTATAAAATAGATATTTAGTAAACATACTACGAATTTATAATTGATTAATTGAAAATATATGTAGAGACCTATTTAATGTTGTTACATTTGTATATAAACTCGCTATATTTAAACTATGATTTTTCCGAATTTAAAATCGTTTAGAGTCAAGAAAATAAACTAAAATACTTAAAATATATTAGATCTACAGTATTTTTTTGATAAATTTTTAAGATAATTTGCATTAAATAAGATAATACAATTTTTACTAAGATCTAAATTGATGTACAGATAAACTTTTCGATTAAATTTTTAATTGAGTAAGAAGTTCGAATCAATTTTCGGATTTTTATTAATATATTTTCATTATTATAAAGTATATTTTTGAATAAAAGAAGACGAAATATTAGAAATTAATAACCAAATCCATCATAAAAGTTTTCAGATGAGAGGGAATATGCCTGAAAATTTATTATAATTTTTATATAAAGGTTTAAGTTTAGAAAATTTAAAACTGGATTATTTGAGAATTAATATAATATAGCTTAACAATAAAATTCTACATTAAAAAATAGACTTTACATTGATCCAGAACATCATCAGAATTCTCATTTTATTCCGAATTTTACCTTTGAAATCAATCTACATCCTTCATTTTTTAATGTATAAAAGCTTCTAATTTTAATTCCGTGACATTTTATTTTAATAAAATGATTTATTTTTCATCAAAATTGCCAACATCTCGCGGAAAAAAAAAAGGTATATTTCCCCCCTCCCTATCGAGTCACGTGTCTATTTATTTACAAGCCATTATATTGGTGGGGATGGTTAGCAATGGTCCACCCGAACGATCACGTGGATCGAGACGGCTTCACCACTTAATTATCAAAGGTTCCATTGTGCACCCTTCCTGCTGTAGCATGGAAAATTGTCAACTGGCGAAATAGGAAACCGTAACATATCTCATCATCTAAACATGACAAGAACGATGAAAAGAGGAACTTAACAATAAATTTGTAACGTTATTAATTATAAGCAGTTTTATATTGTCGACTTTATTAATAGTAGTCAATTGATGATGTTTATTATCAAGATTTTTCACCTGATTAAATTTCACATCGGTTTTTAGATGAAAGAAGAGGAATTTTTCTGATTCATCTTCCTTCCTTTCAGGGACTCTTTCATAAAAAGTTATAACTAAATATGAACTTTTTTCATTAAAATAATCTTCTAATAAAGTTTTCGAAATATTTTAATTAAAATTATTTATATAAATTTAAAAAAAAATTACTTTTAAAGAAGAAAACGCAAACCTTTCTACTTTTCTTAAATAAAAACATATACTGTATATATATATATATTAAAAATATAAACAATATTCCTTAATAAATGTTATATTTACGTTAATATTAGTAGAGAACGTTTATTTTTACTTAAATTTAACGACGTTTAAAGCCGTAATTCCTGTTTTAAATAAAGAGAAATTTAGTTGTAACGTTGTATGTATCTATGACACAATTATGACGTAGAAACAATTTAAAATAATTTAAAAAACATATTCTCCAAATGATTATTTTAACATGATTTAAAAAATTTCAACATTTTCCCAAAAATCTTAAGTAAGAAGAAAGGAATATTGAACGAATTCTGAAGATTAATCCAACTTAGGAACAAGTCAATTTTGTCGGTCTCATCAGTCTGCTCGTAGCTTTATGTTCTTTCTTGGGGTCTAAAGTTCTTGATAGAAAGCATCCCCAAATGCCATGGTTTTGGTCATCAGAAAACCAGGTTATTCTCATAGGACCCATCTAAAATAGCTCAGAGTTAGGATTATCTCAAAACCTTGGGCAATCAAGGACAACAAACAAAATTTTTTCAACCAGGTTTTTGCTCGTAAAAATGATGTTAGAAATAGTAATATCTAATGCGAAAATATCAAAAAGATAGCCAAAAATTTAATTTGGTCCCTTAAATTAACATTTTTACAAGAGTAAAAGTAAAAATTGATAATGATAAAACTTATTTACAAATTGTGTGAGAAATAATTAAAAAAAAAAATGAAAGAAAAAATTGTAAAAGTAATCTCAAATACTTTATTAATTAAATAATAAATAAATACACATTTTTTTTAATAAAATAAATGTATATAAAATCAATTAAAAATTTATAATTATTTTGTAATATTTATAAACATTATCAACTAAAATAAATAACTTTTTTTTTTAAATTTATTATTTTAAAATCCCTCTCAATTATTTTTTATAATGATAAAAAATATCATTTAAATTCTAGAAAATACATTTAGAAAAAAAAATATTTCTAAAAAATTATCATTTTTACTCCTGTAAATAAATAAATTGTGTATCTATGAAAAGAATTTTTTTTATAAAATAAATTATTTGATATTTTTAAAAAGTAAAGAATAATAATATAATAATCTATTTTTTAAAAATATTTAATAAATTTTCAGATTAAAATTTACATGCCCATTCCCAA